TGTATCAACCACAGAATGTCATATGTATCACTTAGAAAAAATGTCTTCTAAAAGCCATGTGTGTTGGTGAGAATCCTATACATTGAAGATTGCAGGTAGTTAAAGTTTGGTCCCTTGGTATTTTACTATAAAATTAGGTCCTAATTGCTAAAAAAATCTAATGAATTTAGTCCTTTGTGTGCTTCAATTTTGGAAGCTCAGTCAAATGAATATCTCTATTCTTAAAGAGTAGGATGACTATGAAACACATTTTAACATAAACATAACTTCTTTTACAATTGAGTGTTCATTTTGAGGGATGGTTCTAAAACTATTAATGAAGCTCTGAAATCCACGTAACAAAGAATTTACAATGTTTTAATAGAAAATTCCTACTTTTTTTTTGGCAGGGTAGCTCAGTGGTTTAGTGCCGCCTTCAGCCCAGGGCGTGATCCTGGAGACCCAGGATTGAGTCCCACGTTGGGCTCCCTGCATGGAGCCTGCTTCTCCCTCTGCTTGTGTCTCTGCCTCTCTCTCTCTCTCTCTCTCTCTCTCTCTCTCATAAATAGATAAAATCTTAAAAAAAAAAAGAAAATTGCTAGTTTTTATAGTGAAAACTATACTAAACACTTTTTGATAATTCACCTAAAAGTCTTCCTACATTTTTAGCTTAGAAAATTCATATTCTATTTCTTTTATCTTCTTAAATAAATTAATAATGCCTGTAATTAAATACAATTTATCATAGTAGCACTTTTTATTTTTCTAGGAATTTGATAGGATGAAGCTTTGCACACATGTAGGAATATTTTCTTTTTATTTGGAACAATTAAAATGATATGAATGCTTTCAATTTAATAGTTTTGAGGAATGAAACAATTTCAGTCTGTACTGTTTGTTGGTCACAGGGTAAAGACGTGAATGTCTCACTGTAGCTGAATGCTCGCACCAGAAATAGGAAAATCACATGTCCTTCTTGCCATAAGCTCTTTTGAGTATGACATTTTGAATATTGTAATCCTACCTTAGTTTTAACTATCTGTTGTTATGCCAGCTGCTTTTTTTTTCCATCCCCCTAAACTCAAAAGGAGATAAATGGATTTGAGATACATCACTCAAACAATTGGATACAGTTAAGTCATTTGTGATTCCAGATTTGATGATGACCTACTTGGTTAAAGATAGTACAAGGAGATTTTGAATGGCCGCAGTAGTCTTGAATTTATGTACTGAATGTTACTCAGATTTTAGTTTTTTTGTTTTTCTTTTAAACCTTATTTTGTTTATTGTTTGTACATTTTGGGAACTTTGCTTCAGACATTTGTGCGACTTTTGAAGGAGAAATGTGTTTTATATTAGTGTCTTTTCAGTGTATATTGATGTTACAAGATGAAATTCTAATTGTATTATGTATTAGATGTCATATTTTATTACTATTTGGTAGCTCAGAACTCTGAAAGCAAAATTTGAAGCAGCCAGAATTCAGAGTTCTACATATCACCAGTTCAAAAGTAGGCTGACATTGTTGGAAGCCATTATTGTTACTTTGCCCTGATGTATGTGCTGTTCATCTGGTGTTAGAAAATAGGGAAACTCCCCCTTAGAGAATAGTGTGAAACAACAATTTGATTGGGGGAATTTCTTGGGAGTAGCTTGGGACATTTTAGTATGTACCTAACAACTTCCACTGATAATGGGCTCAACTTTGAGTTTTGTTTTTGTTAAAGTGTTAAGGTAAATGAAAAATAATTTTTAAAAATTTTTATTTAGAGGGTGGGGAAGGAAAAAGTTCTACTTGAAATAACTTTTTTTTTTTTTTAAACTAAGATTTCAGGTCATAATGCTTTAGATCTTTAGCTATAACTCTACCTAAGATATCTAGAAATCACCTGTCTAGTCCAGCTCCTTCACTTTATTGATCTGGAACTCTGGCCCAGAGAATTTTACATGTGCCCTGGCTCATTGCTTCTCAAACTGTATGTGATAGAAGACCAGTTTTCCTCCTGTCTCGTACGTGGCAGGCCAATAATTTTGTAAAGTATAGTAAAAATGAAATACTAGAAAAAGTAATTTTAAAATAATATACACAATTCTAAGTGCTTCCTCTTAATTTCTGTACTTATTTCAATGTAGCTGGATTGCAAAGAGCTCTAGACTAGAATAGTCCATAGACTGTACTTTGTATATCACTGCCCAAGGTTGGAGCTGGCAAAACTGTGACCTATGGGCCAAATACAGCACACGCCTTGCTTTTTGTGTATCCTGTAAGCTAAGAATTGTTTTTACATTTGTAAATGATTTTTTAAAAATCACCATACTAGTATTTTTGTGACACATGAAAATTACACAAAACATACTTTACTATCCATAAATAAAATTTTATTGTAACACACATTCCAATAAGTATTGTAAGTATTGTCTGTGGCTACTTTCTGCTTAAGGATGAGGTTGAGGCAGGGATGAGTAGTTGAGACAGAGACCATAATGGTCTGCAGAATCTTATCTATTTACTATCTGACCCTTTACAGAAAAAGTGAAGATCCAAAGAGTTGGCTCTAGGACAGAGCATTGAATAATAAACAAGGTTTACATTTACAAATGGGCTCTCGGTATTGTCATTAGCTGCTGGGTAATGTCAGGCTCAGTGCTTAGCGCAATTGCATGCCACTCTGTTCTCATGTAATCTTCCCAGCACTGCTCTTTTATACAAATCAGAGAAAGTTAGCTTTCTTTTAGTTAGAGATGCCCTTTTTCCCCCCAAACTCTTAACTCTACTGAGTTTTGTTTTTTATTAACTGCTATCTAGTTACTTAAAAATGGTTGAATATTTTCTGGTGTGGATTTTGTTATCAGCGTCTGGTTCAGAAAATTCAACTTCTTTTTCCCTTTGGCTGCATTACTCAGCCAGTGATGTTTCTGTACATTTAGGTCTGATGGAAGAAATACCTGGGACTCAAAATCTTTAGAAAACAGATTTCTAGTAAAAAGATTACCACTTTAAAAGTTACCCAAAATAAAGCAAAAATGTAGCTGAACTATAGTGGCAGATCTCAATTGTAAAATAGCAGAGATATAATAGATACTAGCTACAACAAAAAAGATGAACTCTGGAGGAACAATAGGCTTTCAGTTTTTTGCTTCTACCTAGTAAGCTGCAAAATAAATGCTTCCATCATATTATTGTCAGGCCTTGTTAAATTAACATAGTGCTGTAGTTGTTTAGAATAGGGTCTGAAGTTCTCAAAGTATGCAGTAAAAATCTGCATTTCATGGTAGCTGTTACTTCGTTTTCCTGCCCTTTGCATGTGATCAGTGAGCAACTAAGTAAAGATAAAGCTATAGCTTTCAGCTTGACATTTGATACAATGAGGTTGCTTCATGATCAAGACCCTTTACAAGCCAAACCTTCATGTTGGGATTTCTTCTTGGAATTAAAAACAAAAAAACAAAAAACCCCACAAAACTGTTGCCATGAAAGCTTATTCATTATGATGAAAGAATAACTACAGTTTGATATTGTGATACTTTTTTATTCTACTAGCTCTTGAGTCAGTTTGCAAACATCTGGAAAATAATTATGATTGCTTGCATTCAAGGGTGAAATAATATAGAAAGTCTTGGCAGGATCTCTCAGCCAAGAATCTGGCTAGTTTTTACTATTCCAAATCTGAAAGTAGCCAAGATTGAATTGCAAGAGGTGCTGATGTACACTGTTGCAGCAGCTGCCTCCTAATTCTAGATAAGGCTATTCCTTTGTACATTATAATAAAGCCATTGACAAGATGGCTGTGGATTAAGGGAAGGGGAAGAGCTTTATAAACAGTAGGACTTATTACTTAGTAATATATGAGGATTGCCTTCCAAATATTCCAAAGGAATGTAGGTACTTTCGCTTGGAACTGTAAATGAATGAAAATTCGGGACTCATCAACTGTAGCGGCTCAGATATTTTTTATATAACATGTCTTTAACTGCTTATTTGAATTTAATATTTCTGCTTTGTTTTAAATTTATGTTGTAGGATAGTGGTAAATGGTAACAGCTACTGTTCTCCTCTCAGGAGTACACAAAATCTTAACTATTTGAACTGTTAGAATAACTTGGAATTGAACCTTGCTTGTTTGGACTAGTTTTTAATGTATTTATTAGCTTCACCATTGGTTGGGTAGCATTACAGCGACACCCAGCCCCCCAACCCCCATACACTCACATACCAGATGTGGTTGAGAAATGTTTTGGGTTAATAAATTATTACATCTGGATATTACTTAAAATAGTGCTTCTCTCTTTGGGGAGCCTCCATGTCTAAGAATTCTCTGTAGCCACTTTCTACCTAATATAATGTGTGCAGCATTCATTCTTTAGCATATATTATAGTGACTGAGTTTCTATTCCTAAACCTTTTTTATGGAAAGAATTATTGTGCAAGGCAGTTTTTTTTTTTTTTTGCAGCTTGACTGCAGGGGACCAGAGTTGCATGCATTACCATGTCTGTTAAACTTCTTGGAAGCAAGCCAGTGTGTTATGGTGAGTTTCATATGTAAGCAGTGAGCCACTAAAAGGCTTGCACAGTATTACAACTATTCTGAGGAGAGGAAGCATTAGGAAATTCAGCAGTAAAGCAGCAGCAACAAGCAGCCACGGTGGTAGTAAAGAGAGGGAGGTTCATGGTTAGCATATTTCCCGGGGTGAGACCCTGAGCACACAGCTCCCCATTCTGCTGCCTGAAGGAGGCAAACCCAGACCATCTATTGCAAGATCTTTATAGTTTCGTGTTTATGATGTTAAGTCATGTGATAATACTGTACCACAAGTTGCCAACTTTGCTTTACTCTAGAGAGGATCCTTTGCTGCAGTGCTTTTTTTCCACCTTTCTGTTGCTTGCTTTCTTCTTTTTTTCTCTTGAAAGAGAAAAAACTGTGCAATGTATGTTTACGCCTACACCATGCCGAGGCGACACTTACCAGTAAATAATCTTTGTATCCCCGAGGTAAGATACTGTTTCTGCTTTCCTTGCACAGTGCTGCTGCAGCACGGAGCTGATCCAAACATCCGGAACACTGATGGGAAATCAGCCCTGGACCTGGCCGATTCTTCAGCAAAAGCTGTCCTTACAGGTAAGAAAACAGTTTTCTACCAAATTATTTTATCTGTGGAACTCTTAGCTTGATTTTATGAAATTGTCATGCACTGAATTTTATTTTCCTACTGGTGAAGCTCAACAAATATATATGCCATTATCTCTACTTTATTATTGATTGGCTGTATTAACTGTCTCATTAATTTCTATGCTATCATAAGCAGAAGCAATAAGACTTTATTTTTAGAATATCTGAGAATTACAGCATTTAGTTGATAACATGCATTATACACTCATATTTGAGTCCTTTTTTATGGTTTAGATTGTAATCTTGCTGTACCTCATCTTCTCAGTTGATTTCTTTTGAAGACCTTCACCATTGAACAAGCAAGGGCATTTGTATTACTTTATAAAAGTAGTTTTGATTGGAAAGACAACCTGCTGCCTTATTACTCAGATCAATAGTTAAATAAAATACGTTGCTGCTCCTCCCTTGCCTTTCTGTTTGTATTTCTACCCTATCTTCTCACTTGCCCGTGACAGCTAAGTACTTCATAGATAAAGCAATGTATTATCTTTTCATTTCAAATCATGAAAATTTGGGGCTTAAGTATTGGTTTTATCAAGGCAAATGTAAAGAAGCAGCAAAAGAGGAAATGCTAGAGTAGAAAGGCTGTCTCATAATATAGAAAATACTGCTATAAGTGATATGATATTGAGTAACTATTTTCATTGATCTTCATTCTCAAAATGCTGCATTGGGTCTATTTTTGTTTTTATTCTTAGCATCTGAGTTCTGCTGCCTTTGCCTTTTACCTAACTGACCTTTGTAATCTGGAGCCTCTGTCACTGCAGTGCTAACAGTATTGTTTTAGGTTGTGTGAAAGTAAATGACTTTTACCTTCCTTTTAAATTTGCCCGTGTTGGAAGAAAATAAATCTTATGTTCACTTTTAAGTTTAGAGTACATGCTGTGCATTTTTATCAACGATTCTGAGGTGAATGGAAAATGTTTATATATAGAAAGCTTTGAAAATGTGTGGAATTTTGCTTAATTACTCTGCACAGAATGACAACTTTCACTATGTTAAAATTAAGATAATCTCTGCTGAATCAAAGCAATAGGACTTTTCTCAATTAATTGATTAAGTGATTTGACAAGTGAATTAGTTAAGTGATTTGGTTGCTGAGTCAAGATAACATCCGCTAGAGGAACAGAGCTATTTTAAAACCAGTGTAGATAAGAAGAAATTTAAATATAATTTAACACTTTTAAATAATAAAATTAAAATATGTAGCCTCAGGCCTCCTCAGGTTCTGTAGCCTTTCCGTCTCCTCTTTTAACAAAGCAGTGGGCAACAGTAGCAGCCTTGGAGTGGTCTCTGACCAAAGGAGAAATAGTGTTCATTTGTAGTAATGTAGGTGTTATTAGAAATGCTGACCGAGACTGTCTCTGTATCTGAGTGTCCTCCCCCTGACCTTTCCTTCTCTTCAACCCTCAGAGCCTTCCTTGTCCATTTGTGAGATTCATTTAATGCGACACTGTTTTGAGATCCACTTTCAGTTTTTCGAAGGACAAAGTTTAAATATAAATTATTAACAGCAAGAAGCTGTCTCCTAATTTGAAACAATTTCTGGGGGGATTATATCGGCTGCTGTTAGTTTGCAAAAGAGCTTTGGCATAATAACTCATGGAGACTAGATTCCTGGAAGACAGATACCATATCTGTTAAACTTGATTTGAAAAGTATCTTGCACTGTACTTTGCTTAGATAGGAAGATCTTAATTCTTCTTAGTCATAATGCTAAATCCATGAATTGTTCTTTTCATGAATATTTGCTTTTTTCGAAATGACATGCAACTTTTCAGATATGATTTAAAAGAAAAACATTCTGGTGATAGTAATTTTGTGGAAAATACAAGCTAGTGATATTTATACATCCATGTTATATAATATAGTGAAATAACGCTTAAGGGAAATACATTCTATAATGTTCCTCTGCCATGCTGGTTCTCTTCTAAGCAGTTCTTTCGAATAGAATTAAAGAGGAAATATTATTTCCAAAGCTAAATTAAAAAGATAAAGCATTGATAAAAAGAATCTTTTGAAAGGAGTGCCTTAATTTCAAGTCATTAGAGATTATTTTGGGTGAAGTATCATTTTTATGTCACATGCAGTTGTAGAACTAGTACTTACGTTTAGAGTAAACTTTCTGTTCTTAATATTTTTCCTCTTTGGGAATTAATTAATTAATTAATGCAGTTCAATTTGCCAACATCACCTAGTGCCCATCCCGTCAAGTGCGCCCCTCAGTGCCCGTCACCCAGTCACCCCCAACCCCCGGCCCACCTCCCTTTCCACTACCCCTTGTTACTTTGCCTCTTTGGGAATTTAGTTGGTGAAGATAACTGTAGTATCTTCTATGGTACTACTTTTGTGCATTAGCCAAAACTTTCTACAGATGTTTTAACGAAGTGAAAATCTCTTTTTACAGAGAATTTTAAAATATGTAAATGACTAATATTTCCTTCTGCATAAAGAATGCATGGATTTTAATAAAGCTGTATAAAACAACAGTATATCTTTAGTTTTATAGTTAAGGGACTCCAGCAAGAGCCATGTGCAGTTGGCTATTTTAAAGAGAGTAATTAATTGGAGAGGCTTATCAAACTCTTCTTGAATTATTGTATCAAGTGAATGATATACTTAGAAGAAATCTTGAGGGCTTATTGTTTTTCTGTTAGTCACTCTGAAGTTCTGGGCAGTCAACTAAAGGACTTGGAGGTGGTTGTTTGTTTTTGTTTTTAGGAAATAAGCATATGAAAAGTCTAAAATAGCTTATGTAAATTTTATTTAAAAGCATCGTGGGTATGTTATGATTCTGGATTTTAAAAAATTTATTTTGGCCTTTTTCCCCCCTAGGTACAAGAAATACATTCATTGTGAAAATTAAGGAAAATAGAAAAAGTACAGGAAAGAAAAAAAATCATTGTTATTTCTACTACCTATAGAACATTTTGGATATTTTATTTATAACCATTTTTTTCTGAGCACACATATCCCGTGCTCTTCTTTCTCTTTAATCAAATCAGTATTACATATTTCATACTGCTTAATAATAATTTTTAAAAAGATTTAGTTACGTAGGTATTCCCAGAAAGCATTAAGTATTCTTCAAAATGAATTTATAATGACTTTGTAATACCCTTCTATGGATCTACTTTAGTTTTTTGAGCTAATCCTCTAGCGTTTACCATTTAGGTAGGCTGTTTTCATTCTTTATATACTTCCTTGTAAATTTCTAGTCATTTTACCAATTCCATTGGAATTGTGCTTCTTTATCATATTCAGTCTCAGCATCCACAGACATGTATATCTCTCCATTCCTGATTGAAATATGTGAAGGTTTGGAGAATGGGGAGCTTCCCTTTTAAAGGGCTGCATTGCGTTCCACATTTAAATTAAAGTTGGTTGACACAGGAAATGTTCATTGAAGGGGTTAGGGAGGTAGGGCTGTTTGTTAATCCTACAAAGGAGATTCTGAAGGACGCAGTGGGAAGTTGAGTCAGGAGAAATAGTAATAGCAGATTGAAGCCAAGAATTTGGGAAAGGATACATGACCAAAGGAATGTTTATCATTGGCAGACCCAAAGATGATAGGGATTTAAAATGGATGAGTTTAGATGGTCACAAGGTTGCCGAAATCATTGGTCCCAGCAATTTTCTAGCAGGTTGAGGGCTGCGGAAGTAGGGAAGAATGATATATTTGCACCAAAGTGTCTCAAGAATAAGCTTTAACCCGAATTCATTGCACTTCTGAGGAAATCCTAACCTGTGATTGATGGGCTGGCTCCCAGTCTTTCCAGAAGGACTCAGCTGTGGCTCAGGCTAGAGGCAGTGTTGAGGGGTCTGGCATATGCTTGCTGAGTGTGGCATGTTAAATCAACAAAATATATCTGGAATCCTACTTCTCTCTATCTCTCTTTTTTTTCCCCCTACTCCACTGCTTCCTACTGCTTTTTAGATGAAACCAGAATCTTCAGTCTGGTTAGTGAGGACTTCAGTGCACTGGACCCTGCCCAGATAGGTTTGACTGTGAGGTTTTGTTCAAGCCAAAATTTAGGATTCCTTTCTTTTTCTCACGCTTTGCATTCACCCTTGTCAGTAATTCAGGTCTACTGTACTTTTAAATCTCCGGTCCATCCATGTCTTACCGGCTTCACTGCACTTTAGCCTTAGTATATAAGGCTTCATTGTCTTTCCTTCGTGACAGCAGCAACCTCATAATGAGTCTCTCTGTCTCCACTTATAGGAGTTTCTCTGCCACCATTTATTCTTCACCCACTTTTCACTGTAGCTGGAGTGGTCTTTATAAAGCCTAGATCAGCCCTATGTCTAGAAAATTCCTTACAATATTCTCAATTCCCCCTAAGTAAAGTCCAAGCTTTAGCCATAGCCTACCGCATCTGGCCTCTGCCTTGCTTATCTCTGATCTCATCTTCCACTCTGCTCTCCCTGACCTCTTCGCTTCAGCTGCAGCTGGATGCTTGTGTCCCTTCCTCCCCCAGATGCAGCCCTTGTCCATCTCTGGACTTATACACGCTGTCTGTTGAACCTGGAGCACTGCTCAGATATTTACTCCTCAGGGAAGTCTTTTTGTCCTCCTTCACATTTGCTTTCTTATTTTCTTCATGGGTTTATAGATATCTGAAATTGCATTATTTTTTTCTGTTCTTGTTTTTTTGCCCCAGTAGAATGAAAGCTTTACAAGGATTTGGACTGTTGTATGTCTTGCTTATTACTTCATTGTATACAGGACTTGCACAAATACGTGAAATGATTAAATAAATACTTGAAGGATCTGAGTACTGGTGACCAAGGGCAGCATATTTTCCAAGTTCTTCAGATACTCATTAACCATTAATTATTTGATATCCCATGCCTATTGTAATAGTCTTATTACATTTTCTATTTCCTAAACATTTTGTTTTGGATTGCTTATAGTCATGGATATCTCTTAAAACAGTGCATTGAAA